CGAATACCTGTGTGAGAGACGTTCCAATATCATTCGAATAAATATTCGACTAACAGTTTTCGATCGAGCATAACACAGGCACAATGGTTGAACGTAAAAAAAAAAAAAAAAAAAAAAAAAAAATAGCAACGAAAGAAGAAACGTGTGATCCGTTATCGATAGTCGAGACGAAAAACGATGCGTGGGTCATCAAAGCACTGCGGAAACTCGGGCATATACGATATTATTTAGATATCTGTATATATACGAATTTCATACCTGATTCCTCGATGGAAAGCCGCTCCATCAGCCACTCGATGAGATCGTAACCTGCAACACGCAGGCAGCCTACTGTAGTGTCCTGGCCGTGATGGCCGCTTACGCTTACTCCACAACGCAGGTACCGATGGCACTCACCCATGAAAGCCGAAGGAATTGAGGTGAGAAATTGTTTTTGGCTGCGCACGGGTACCCCGTTCTCAGGGTCTTGCATCTCCCGCACCAGCCCCTCCATCTGTAATAAACATAGTCGATCGATCGATCATCGTACGCTTCGGTTACTCATTTCTTTTTAATTTTACCAAAAAATCTTTTCCACTCTTTTCCGCTCTTCTTCTTCTTCTTCTTTTTCTTTTCCTTTCTTTCTTTCTTTACAAGCTAATAAAACACGCATACGATACGTTACGTACATCGTTTTCAGCTATTTTTAATCACTCGAATCATCGATACTTGGTCCCATCGCACGAAATAGAAATCCTTGATCGAGGAAATATTGCGAAATTCTAATCTCGCGACAAAATTTTTCCCTGAATATTTTTCCATAAACGTATCATAGATATCCATCATTCATATCGTGAATTTGATACGAATATATCCTATCGTTGCTCACTTGCTCAACGTTCATCGTCGAGTATCGAAATTTGAGAAAGAATTAAAGCTCGATGCAGCCTCTTCTACCCTCTTCAACTATATAATAAAGTGGATGTGGTATATACGCGATTCTCGTAACATTAAGTGAAAAAAATCAATTAAGAAGAAAGAAAGAGCAAAGAAGAAACGAAGATCGGCAAAGATTCGATCGATGACGAAATGAAATCAGCAGCGATCATTATGAATGGAAAGTTGGACGAATTTCGTAATCCCTCTTCTAAGATCATCGTATAACTATATAAAATATATATCGACGAATCTACCAACAATTATTACGCCGAGTTCATTACGCCGATCACAAGGATTGCTTACAATACGCACGCGCTCCGCCAACATGGAACAATCTAGGACATCAAAACTACATACGACTTTATCGATGTCAATCGACTTGAGCTTGACATACGCTCGCTACATCTTGAAAAGGAAGTTACAATATAACACACGTTGCTACCTATATACTATATCTATCAAGTCAAGATCCATACATATCGACGAAAAATTCGAGATTGATTGGCTAGCTACTTGACTCGTAGAGAGATATATATCTCGATGTATTTTTTTTTTTTTTTTATATTCCTTCCAGTATTAAAGGAATATAATTTATATCAAATTTATACAAAATTCTCTCGCGATTATTCAACTATTCCTATTCTTGGTAAATATAGTATATATTTCTATTTTAAATATATCCTCTCTCTCTCTCATTTTCTTTTAATTCATTTAAAAAAGAATATATCTTTTGGCTCGTGAAATAGAACATTTTTTCATCTCGTTAAATTGATTTGATTTTTTTTGATCGTAATAACGATAAATATACGGTGTTATTCTCGATTTCAATAAAATTATTTCCCATTAAAATACACGTGTAATTTTATTAAATTACATCGTATTAATTCTTATATGTCATAAAACAATTCCACTAACGATTCCAGGGAACGAAACGCTTTCCTTTTTTTCCCTCCCTCTTCTCACCTTTTTCATTACGGAACGCTTGTATATCTTTAGCTAAATAATTTTCTAAATATTGAAATTTTTTTCCATACCGGATATTTACATTTGAATTCCATCAAGAATTAAACGATCCACCTACGAGTACATGCATATACAATACAATAACGTAGAATTTAGTCGACCTGTAGTTCGCGTTCACTTCTTACGATCTCATTACTTTATCATTTTTTTTACCATGATGTTCAATGATTATTATCATACGATACAGATCGCTGAATTCTTTTTATTTTCGAATAAATAAATCGCGTTATAATAAAAAATAAAATGGGCCTGGAACACGTGGAATTGAATTATAAAGAAACTATTATATTAATTCTTATCGATAAATATTATAAGATTAATAATAATTCAACGTTGGAACGATTAATTTTTAGATCATTTGCGTTCCGCGTGTAACATTGAATGAAAAAAGAAATTTATTATTACCTTGTCGAAGGCGCAAGGCCTGTGAACGCTTGGCTCCTTTTTCTGTTGTTGATTATTAGAGGCCTCCATCGCGATCGAGGCGGCCCTCTGCGACGCTGGCAGGAGCTGTGACGATATCGATGGCGGAGGGGGCTGGGGAGTTGGGCCGGAGACGGGTCTACCCGAACTCCATGGGGCTCTAGCCCCATCCCATCACTCCAGTCACCCCCGCACGCCCACTGAAATTTTTATAATAAATTATTCTTTTCACTTTTCGTTTTTATCTATAAATATGTTTAAAATTACAAATAGAAACGATAAAAGCAACGATAAAAACAATATGGATAATATAAATTTAAAGCTGACTCCATCTAAATCTTATTACGTATTATCGTCTTTAAATATATGCTCTCGTAGTGTCGAAACTACATTTTTATCACGGAAAAAATCGATTTCGAGTCTTTTTCATGTATTCTTCATTTTCATACATGATAATATAAAATAGAATTATGTATAAAATGATTGTAGCGTATAATATATCATTTGACGACAATGTATCGAGACAAGAATACGTAATAAGTATAAATCTTAGTTAAGAAAAAGTTTCAAAAAAGTTTAAGGTTAAATCTTAAGTTTTAGAAAAAAAGACCAATTAATACGCATAAATTAATTCATCGATAGTGTTTAATATCTTTTACTCATTTACTCAAATTTTTTGACTAAGAAAATTTCAAATTGGTAATATGTTACGACACATTACGGATTCAATGCATAGAATGATCGTTTTTAAGAATCCAATGGATAGTCTCCATTTTTGTGTGTGTGCGTGTCGATAATATCTATAAATAGATAGAACGAACGTTTATCCTAATAATAAGTAAAAAATGATTCTAAAAATATAATATACATAAGGATTTGGTTCTATGTAATAAAAATATATCGTGAATGCAAATTATGATTTATAAGAATATAATTGAGAATCGAATCAAAATTTTTACGTTCGTGAATAATAGAATGTTCTGTATTTTATTTTCAAGTTTATTCTATGTCGAGTCTCAATTCATAATTCGAGTCTCATGGCTGAGAAGAATGTTTTTATAATCTGAACTATTCGAACAAACTTTCTTACTTTAATATTTAGAATAATTTACACAATTTCCCAACCCACTTTTATTTATATATATATATATATATATATATATATATTTTATATAATTTTTATTTATATCTGTCTTGGTATTGTAATTGAATATATAATCGATTTATTAAATTATTTTTAAGAACGTTTCGATACAACATCTTATTCGTACTTTCTATAATAAATTTCAATTTCAATTTTCTTATATATTTCTTATAATGACAATGTATAATCCAATATCGTTACTATGATTATCCGATAAATTAAGCAATTTCCATTTTATAAATTACACGTATTATATGATCGATTTATTCAAAAATATTCGTGTTGTTAGAAATTTGTTTAGAAACTTTTTTTTTTTTTAGAAAGTTTTTTTTTCTTTATATGAAATTTTTATATGCATACGTATAATTCATCATAATATTAAATATTTCCCTATTTAGTTTAGAAATATTTTCTATTCAGTTTCTAACATATTTATTTCTTCCTTATTATTTTCTCCGTATTACGTTATGATTATAAAATAAAAAATGTAAAACCAATTGATAAATATTTATTATTTAAATATTATAAAAATAAATGTAGACATTGCATATTTTTCCTTTTTGTTGCACATTTATGTATATAAAAAATCCGTGTTTGAATATTTTCGTTGGATACCAGCGATATAAATATATAATGATACATATACATATACACATATTTATCAATAAAAATCACGAAATTAAAATATGGCATTTTTATTAATCGTTGTGTTCATGGAATTCCTAATTATTATGCACAATTGATAATTATTTATAGACATCATCATTCGTATTTTAAATAAAAAGACTTATAAACTAAAGTGGAAATATAAAAATCAAACTAACGATAAAAATACGTTATTAATTTTGCCATACAAATTGATAATACTTTAATTATATGAAATCAATATCTCTCTTCGATGTTTGCATTTTATTATATTATTTGATAAAATTTTATAAATAATACGTGCTAATAAAATGATAATTAAAAGATTTATATATTCGTATCGTTTCATTTTCATTGAATCGTTACTATAGCAATGGCGGTACTATAAATACATACACGCCAACAATGATGATTCGTTGAAAGCGAAATTGTATTCAATCTTAAAATCGTATTTACGAGAAATCTCGAGTATAAATTTACAATGGCACCAAGATTTTGAAATAACCATACCATATATATATATATATATATATATATATATATATATANAAANAANAANAATAATATAATATATAATTT